TGTATGAAATCTGAGATATTCTATCAGACTTCAGATAGGGAAGAGAAGTACTGTGAAAATAATATCACCTGGTTAATTTTGGTATAGATCAGCCATCAGATTTTGTACCATAGCTAAAATGGGACTGTCACACCTTTAGTATATTTATATGTTGTATCAGAAATACCCACCATTGATAATCAGCTTAGCACCCAGTTTATTTCTGCTATGTGTCTCCAAAAGTATAATCTTCTGTGTCTAATTTTGTACTTGAGAATACTTTTTCTTTAGCTTAAAATACTTTATAGTAGTTGTGCAATATAAATTACAGAATGCTTCTGGGAATGTAGGTCAAAATTGTGTCCAGTAGACATCGATAGTATCTCTATTGATTTTTATTTTAAAGTGGCATCCTTAGCTAGCAATATCTTTTCTAATATATTGCCTATACAGTTCTTCATAGACACTGAAACAGATTCAATGGCTTAACAATAGTTAACAATAATGCCTGAGCACCACCCTTTTTATGTTTCCCTCTAGGGGTTGAGTTGTTCTTAGGCATCAAGACTCCTTTTCCCAAGTGATTACTTATCAAAATCTATGAGGATGCTTAATTAATCCCTGACCTAGTTTTACAAACCTTGTTATTTCTTCAGGCAATGGGAGGATACATCAGCACAGATGTAGCAGTGCTTGAATGAATTCAACAGTTGATCTTTGGATATAAACGTGTCTTTCTGATCTACTCTATATGGTCAAAGCATGGTTATAACCAGTTATTGTCACAGAAAGTTAGTTTCTTATTCTGGGTATGGTGTTTGTTCCCAGGGACCACCTTCCTAAACTTATATTTATATTTATAAGAGAATAAATACTTAGTCATTTATGTATGAGTCGTTTGTTAGAGCAGAATGTTATAAACAATACAAAAGTGTAGACATATGAAGGGCTAACTAAATGATGGTAATATCTACACAAAAATATATTAGGCATTAAATATTTTGAAAAAAAATTAATACAATTCTACAGTGCTCTTAATAATTGTTACATGCAAAAAACCTGTATATAAAATTGAATGTACAATGTTATTTCAATATATTAAAACATATGTGAAGAAAATCTTTGTTAGTAGCCCATTGTTGTAGGATATTTTGACTCATTTGTCTTGTTGTATTTCCCCAAAACTCGGATCAATAGTCCTCAAAAAGGTGATGTTTTCCCTCTGAGGAGACATTGGCAGTACTTGGTGAATTTCTATTTGTCACACCTTGAGGGAGGTTGCTACTGGTATCTCCTGGCTAGGGGCTAGGATGCTGCTAAACAGCCTGCAGTGAACAGGACAATCACTCCCCCAATACATCAAATATCTGGCCCAAATATCATTAAAGCCAAGGTTGAGAAACTGTGCTCTATGTTAAATATGCATTTGATTTAAAATTAGGAAAAATCGACCATTAAAACCACAAGGAAAGAGTTTAAGTTACAGGATATAAAATCAAATTTTGTTATGTAGATTATATTTTTTTAAAATGAACACATATTTTGTTAAGTATAAGAAATTGGCAAAGGCATAATATTGCCTTTCTAATATTGCTGCTGTAATTCACTGGTGTAAGCTTTTTGGACAAGAGTGACAGGAATTCAACTTTGCCTGTTGGAACACGCAGGCTTAGTTTCAGTCATGGGAACCTGCACTTCTCCAATTGGGGGCATTTCTTGCAGTTGTTTTTGTTAAATCCCTCCTTGGCTTATTTTGGGTCTAAATTAAAGTCTGAGAACAACCAATAGTCACACAAAGCTTTTGACGCAAAAGATTTGCACTTGAATGAACACTTACTTGAGCACACATTTATTTCGCATCCTGTCAAAATTCCCAGGATATAATGAGATGAAACCATCTTCACACACACACACACACACACACACACACACATAAAGTCTAGTGATATGAGGACACAAAGAAAAATATCTAAAAATAGCTGATAGGCTAACTATTTTGCTTTTTTTTTAAAATACTGTATTAGGTCCCCAAAATGGCCAGACTTTGAGATTGCCCTGGACATAGCCAAAAAGAACCTGGCTCACGTTTATATTATGATTATAGATTTTTATAACGGTGGTCCCAGACTAACCCAATGTGATTCTGAAGGAAGTTAAATTAAAAGTGGTTGAGGATGGATTTTACCAATAACATTATATGTACATACACTTAATTTCTGCTAATCTGTAAAGATCTTGAGGATTTGAAACACTATTGTGCTGTGTCAAACGTGTTGCTTTCATTTTATCAGTGTTATTAGTGTCTGTTCCACACCTATTCCCCCTTATAGATCTGTCTTATTTACATGGATGGTGTCACTATGGCAATAAAGACTTACATCTTTTTAGATGATGCCCCTGGTAGCTGTACCACTTCAGAATAGTCTGAGGTGATAGCAGAAACGCTTGCCTTGTTGCATTAAATGCTGTACTCATAAATGTAGGCTTTAAAAATGCTCATTACATCCAACATTTGGCATTTCACAAATGTTATGAGGAGTCTGACTCTTTCTAAAAAACTAAAGGACCTTGTCAGCAGTAATAAGAGCATGTCTCATGGTGCTGTGGCCCAAAGATACTGAGGAAGATGAACCTAGCCCTTGTGATAAGCAAGTATGCTTTAGCCTCTCCTTTATGCCAGATGTTGTGCTGTTAGTTTACATTTTGTATAACAAATACCCCAGCAACCTCACCAGATAGGTAGGTATTATTTTCCAGCTTTATTTACAGGGTTCTGAGGTTTAGGTCATCAGCTTTTCAAAGTTGTGGAGCTAGTAAACAGTAAAATCAGCCTTAATATACCAGAATTCATTCTCCCTTTTGGAAATGAAAGCCAATCTCTCTTCCCGCAGCAGGAAATGAATAAATAGTCATCATCCTTAAACAGTGAGATATAATCAAAAAAGGAAATATTTTAAATGAGTGTGTAATGATCCCCGGCTAAACTTTAGAGACTTTGAGTGGAATCTTTTAATTTATAATCTTAGTTGTCCAAGAATTGTATTATGCTAAAATAATTTTTAAAAAGAGATTTTGAAAAGAGACTGCATAATCATTGTTTATTTGATTACTCAGTGGTGTTATCCACCTTTAATCTAATCCTGGATAATTTTGCAGAATAGAACCTATCATTATGGATTGCCTCTCTCTTTTATTATATACTAGAGGCCTGGTGCATAAATTCATGCATTAGTGGGGTCCCTCTGCCTGGCCTGCAGAATTGGGTTGAAACTGGCTCTCTGACATCCCCTGAGGGGTCTCAGATTGTGAAAGAATGCAGGCCAGGCTGAGGGACCCCACTGGTGCAGGATTGGGGCTGGGAGGGACTGTGAGAAGGCTCTAATGTGTGTTTGGACTATCTTGCTCAGTCCAGATAAGCTGGACCCCAGCAGCAAGCTCATCTACCTGTTGAAGTGTCTACTCTCAGGTGGTCAGTGCACATCATTGCAACTGGTTGACCAGTTGACTGTTTGTCCCCTGATGGTCAGTGCCCATCATTGCACACCATTGCGAGCAGTTGAGCAACCTTAGCACATCATTAGCATATTATGCATTGATTGGTTGAACAGCCAACTAGATGACTGGACACTTAACAAATTAGGCTTTTATTATATAAGATTATATTATATAAGATTATATTATATTATATTATATTATATTATATTATATTATAATATACTACATTATATTAATATTATTGACAGTATTACTGATGTCCCTCATTTTCTTCCCTTTGCCTCCTTCCACCAGCCCTAGGCATTCACTACACTATTGTCTATGTCCATCGGCTATGCATATATGATCTTTGGCTAATCTCTTTATTTGAAGTTGGTGAGGTGGGAATGCAGAAGGTGATAAGTGATTAGTCACAATAAAGAAAATGTTTTGTAACAATTGACAATTTTTTAATAAATAAAATTGAGAAATGTATTTATTTCCGTAAAGAAAATATGCCACGTTTTCCTCTAGGTTCATTGGAAGGTGTTAGCAAAGAGCTTAGGAAGGAGCCTAAAAGACTCTCCTTGGTCTTTCTGCATTTCCTGTGTTCTGTGTTTCCAACAGATTGCCTTTGTGTGTCCAAGAGTATTGAGCTAGGAATGCTTTTTTAAGGAGCTTCACAATGTGCTTTTACTTACTATGGGGAAAATAGCTTACTCATTGAAGCAGTGAAATCTGTTCTACTTAACATAGAAGGTGGTATGTATGAAGTATGTATGTGTATAATACTTTTAGGGTATAAAAACCATTATTAAAGTAAAGTTAGTCAGTTTGTCTTTACTCTTTGTAAATTTTTTCCCCTATACTTTACCCCACATCTGTGTTGTATGGTTATATTTACACACTGGATAGTAAACATATAGTAATGATTTTTTTTCATATAAAAGATTTAAACTTTAGGCAAGATTGAATTATGTGTGCATTTTTAAAGCTTCCAATTGCATTTTGATGAACTCCTTAGATAATAAGTGACTGATTTACATAAAGTATATTTATAGCTTATAGTCTAGCGGAAAATCACTTGGTATTTTTCCTGCCTTATTAATGTTTCCACTTACTATTATAAAGTTATATAATTGGACACTGGCAAGATACTTTTATAGCTTATTAGATCAGGGTAATTATCTGCATGTTATATTATATATTTATTGTATTGCAATTGAAAGTATTGCATTATGGTATTTAAGTAAAGTGGCAAACCAAAATAGTTAAGTTGTGATAGTAACCACAGACTTGCAATGAAAAATGAACACATTTATTGAAAGATATTTCTATAACATGTAAATAATGTGTTCCATTTTGATAACTTTGTTTTTCTCTTGTTCTTTTTATTTTTTTTTATTTCTTTATAATTTGCTGCTTGCCATTACAGGAAGTGGAGGTTTGTATTCAGCTTCTGTATTTTCTAATTTATTTTAGATTTTATATGATTCTTTCCATTGTAATAACTCATATCCACTCAATTCACATTATTTTCCCCTTAGGATGATTATTTCCGCACTTGGAGTCCAGGAAAGGCCTTTGATCAGGGTAAGAATCTAATTATTTTAAAATAAAAATCTTTACATGTCTATAATCACTGTTTTGAACATGATATTAACTGTCTGGTTAGATTTTTAAGATACTGAATAGGAGAGCTTAGATATATGAAAAAACTCAGCAATAATTGCTTTCATTTCAGAATAATGTAATTAAATATACTTATTAGGTAACATGGTTATGTCAGGATGACTCTTATTATTAGATGCAGATCTTAGATTGCAATTTAGGCTTCTGAGCTATACTATGGCCACTTTTTGTGATACAAGTCACTTCCTCCAATTTTGAATATAGTCTCAAGTCCAGTCACTAGGAAATAAACATATTTGTATAAAAATTCCAAACAAATGACTATGGTGTCTCTTTCTCAGTTAATAAAAACTTTTATTTAAACAGAGATGTCTGGTAATTAGACTCAGGTAGGGTCTTAGTTAGGCCCAAATGGAAAAGTCTTACATATAATTGGGGTTTCCCACACCTCTGTACACACAGTTATGTAGCTCTGGTTTGCTTACTTGAGAAGTAAAAGCAGGGCATTATGCATTGGGAAGGAAGTACTTCTACCTGTGCATTGAGAATGAAAACACCAAACTCAATGCAAAGATTATTACACAAATATATTATTAAACAGATTTGTTTACTGAATTGTACAATATTAGAACCAGATACTTCCTTTTAAAGCTTGAAACAAAAGAAATTCCTACTTTATATAGCTTAAAGTAAACTTACAAAAGATATTACTCCATAAAAATAGTATAACTTAGAAATAGAAATAATTTTTTTTAAGAAAGAGCCATAATGTGTTATTAATGGAAGCTTAGGTTATTCCTGGTAACTTTTGATTGTATATTTTGAATGAATGCTTCAATAGCCAATCTCTCTAAGAGGGAATCTACCTGGGTGGACCTAGACAGGGACTGTTGTCCACATTGATGTTAACCTGCAATTGGAAAAAGTCACTCGTATCCAAACCACTCTTTCATATTAGTTTATTTCTTCTGCACTTCATGTGGCCACCTTGTTTGTGGAGTATGCATTTAAAATTTCCAAAAAAAATTAATTTTGATTTGCTTACTAATAAGTCAGATGAAATGAACCAAAAGGCAAGCAATGAAAAAATAATGACATGCAGACGGAGATATATTTGCAGGCTTTCTTGGGAAATAAATTATTATGATGGAATTATAAACCTTGAAAAATTAGAGTGATGTATGAAATGGATATTAACACTTAAATTTGCCATATGCGATGCATCCAGTTACAATAAAGATTCTGTGTGTGTGTGTGTGTGTGTGTGTGTGTGTGTGTGTGTGTGTGTGTGAGATGATATGTTGAACAATGATTTATCTCTCACTAAAGTAAAAAATAAAAAAGATCGCTACAGGGAAGCTTCCAAAACTTTACGTACTTTAAACCAGATTTATTTTAATTTTCAGAGAGGTTTTCAGCCTACTAACTTGTCAAAAACATCATATTTATGAGGCAAAGAGGAAGATCATGACATGATAATAGTTGATATTTATTAAGAGTGTCATGTATTGAGTCGCTATTCTAAGTATTCAATATATTAGTTCATTAAATCTTCAAAGTAACCACTGCCAGATGATATGAAACGTGAGACACTGAAGGAGGTTAAAGCTCCTGCCCAAGGTCATAGGCCTGCAATGTGACAGTCTGGATTTGGGTCCAGGCAATCTGACCCCTGAATCCCATTTCCTAATCACTATGTGGTACTGTTCCTTATATGATAGCTTTAAAATAAAATAATGACTAACAGAATTTTAAAGTTTATGCTTTAAAAATAAATATTTACTTGAATGAATTTTAGAAATAGAGCTGAATGCTTTGTTTCTCTGTTTTAGACAATATTTTGTAGACTATAAGACTCTGGGTTTTGATTAATGGAACATATGTTATTGTTAAACATACATAAGAAAGTACTATATAGAAAAAGTTAGTTTGAGATACATGCATTTGTTTTTGGTTTTGAGTAAAATTAACTAACCCATTGGTAGACCATAGTGAGGAGTAAGGAAAAACATCCTTTTCCCATCCAATGCTGAATAAGATAAGATTTCATCATTTGGATAGAATAGACGTGAGATGTTGACTTCTAATGTTTGTTGTTTTTCCTGATGATATGCTCTTCTGTTCAGTATTATTTTCAAAACATAATTGAGCTGTTGAACATAGAAGACTTTTTATGAATGTTTATAATTTTTATATTCTGTTTTTCATTGGTTTATGAACAGCATAGCACACTGATATAAGTTGATTTTTCACTTTCCTTTCTGGAAATTTGTATATTTCCTGAAAAGAGTGAGAAAAAATTGGCTTGGAATTACATTTTTTTAAAGTACCAACTATTTTTTTACTGTCTAAAGTTTTACATATGTCTCCTTTCCCCCTGATTACCCCCCCCCAGCTATTCCCACCCCCAAGGGCAAGCCCCCACCGTGCCAGTGTCTGTGTCCATTGATTATACTAATATGCATGCATAAAAGTCCTTTGGTTGACCTCTAACCCCCCCACCTCCCCTGCCATTTATCTCTGGGTCTATTTTTGTACGTTAGTGTATGTTGATAAGTATATCTCACATATGAGTAAGATCTAGCATTCCATTTTATGCTTATATTTATGCCATTTTAAACCATATTCATTATAACATCATACTTCCATCTCTATAGGATGCTTCACAAAATATGCAGAAATTAAAGTACCATTAATGAGCTTGTAAATTAACATTTCAAAATATAAATGGTATCATTTTTCAGCCTATAATTCCTTGGTACATATATGCATAAACATAGACATATATATATATACAAACATAAACTTACACATAATTACACATCTACAAACACATTTGCACTTGTAAATTTGCTTCTAGGTAAAGTTAACTAATTGTTCATACATAGCTTATCTACCTTTTGGTTTAACTGTCACAGATTTTTCATCTCACATAATTTTTATTTTCATTAATCAAAATATTTCCACTTGGCTTGTTTAAAAAAAAAGACTTTTGGTAAAATATAATGACTTCAAATGCATTTAAGTTAAACTATTTTGGTGATGTTAAATCTGCATTAAAATAAAAGAAAACATACCGATGTGCTAAATAAATTGCTTCGGTTATCTCCACTGGAAATTTCTGTGCCATTACTTCTCTTCATTAGTGTGGCTAATCATGAGTTGACACAACAGAAATGGACTGAAAAATAGTTTTAATGAGGACATGCATCTTTTTGAACATGGCATAAATATTCTATGTTTACGATGATAAAGGAAAGAAAAGATGCATGGATAAAGTAAAGTAGTAGCATGATAAACATTTTTAATGAATGCGTTGGATAGATATGCTGTAGCTTTAAAAAAAAATTTGTTCACTTCTTTTCTCGTTGCTTCTTTAACCCTACATTGTTTTTTGGGTCACATATTAATGTAGGTGTGTAAGTGATAAATTACTGGAATTTTTAGCAGTATTTTCTGACAGTTGTTTAGAGTCTCTACATGGAAGTGCTATATCTACAAGGATCACCTTTTATTCAAAAGTGTTTTCCCCGCCCCCCCTGCACGATATGATATCTAGGTGCCCTGAAGTGAGAGTTGGGATCAAAATGTGCTTTCTATTATTCCCTAATTTTGCTCTCCAAACCAGTTTGGAGTTTCTCCACCTAGTATCTACCATGACACTGAAGTAGTATCTATAGACTAATAACAGAGAAATGGATTTTAAATAGACCCGAGATTTCAGGACAAATTGATGTGTTTCACCTGCTTGTGCAGATTTCTGGGGATATGGAATTAGGGGCAAAAGGTGTAGCTGTGACTTAGGTCAGCACTCTTCTGTCATTTCACAGCTGTTTTGTTTAAAGATGTTTTATTGATTTCAGAGAGAGGAAGGGAGAGGGAGAGAGAAATAGAAACATCAGTGATGAGAAAGAGCCATTGCTTAGCTGCTCCCTGCATGTCCCACACTGGGGATCGAGCCTGCAACTCATGAAATGTGCCCTGACTAGAAATCAAACCTTGACCTCCTGGTTCATGGGCTCATACTCAACCACTGTACCACACTGTCCAGGCACAGCTGTTTCTATGTGTGTTATTTTGCTAAGTCCAGAGCTCTCTGGGAACAGCAGCTAATTTGGTTACATTTAATTCAACAACAAAAAAATCCCTAAAGTGATGTGTGTTGGGGACCATTTTTAAATTCAAACTGCTCAAAATCCAGCCAAGAAAGATAGACATGTGAATAGCTAATCTTATATCTAGTTGAGCAAGAACTGGAGGGAGGTGAAAAAGAAAGACACTGCTCTCTGAAAGGCCAGTCATGTATGTATGTACCTATTGTTTCTGTCTTTTCAGGATCAGTTCTTAGAGTTCTTATCGAATTCTCCCAATTCTTCCTATCTATTTGCAAAAATTGTCACATCTACCGACAGTCACAGCTTGAGATGCCCCTGCAATAAATCCCTGGCTACTAAAGGAAAGGTGTTGATATTTCTTCTGGAGCTTTTATTTCCTTTGGTGAACAGCTGCTATATTATTATGGCTGTACTTATTTGAAAAAGACTAGCATTTGAGAATGTACCCCCAACTACCTTTTCCTTTTTAAAATGCATTACAAAACTTCTTTTTATATTTATATATTTTTTAATCTTTATCATTGAAAGTATTGCATATGTCCCCTTTGTTCTGTCATTGACCCCTTATAGCCAGCCCACTCCAGGCCTCCACCTTCCTATTGTCTGTGTCCATGGGTGATACATATATGCAAGGCCTTTGTTTGATCTCTTCCAACCCCCCCTTCTCCCTCCCCCCCCACCCCCTTCCCTCTAAGGTTCTACAGTCTAAAGGCACTGCACAAATAGATTATACAATGTAGGTATTCACTCTCTCACAGATGCTTTTAATTTCCACTTGTTTACATATGCTTAGACGGTATTTATTGACAATAGTCTGAAACAAGCTTCACAATAGAGGCATGGTAA